CTTCCAGAAGTTGAGTTCCAGGAGGCTGGTTGTGGGTTTGACCCTGTACTCCTTGCCAAACACTGGCTCTGTTCCAAGAAACTCAGCCAGCCGCCGACCACACTGTTTTATGGAGAGTTGCCGGTGGACATGGCCAAGCTGCCAAAGTCTGTGGCGCCAAGACTGGCCATGAACGAAGAGACGGTGAAGAAATTCGAGAAGACCGCCCGGGATGTGCTGGCGCCACCCTGGCAGCTGGAGAGTGCCTTTTCATACCTGATGTCTTGGGTCAAAAGGAACCAGAGTGGAGTTTGCGGGCAGCCACCGGACATCAACTTTGTGGTTGAGGGGCGTGGGTTCTTGCCCAAAGCTGTGCTTGAGGGTGACCTTCTCACTGCTGAGCAGACTTGGAAAGATTTTGCGCCCCAGGGAGCGATTGAAATCATTCCAGTGCACAAAGCAGGGGCTAAGGCCAAAGGCAAAGCGAAGGCCAAAGGCAAAGCTGAGGCCAAAGGCAAAACAAAAGCCGCGCCTGACAGCCAAGTGGTTCAGTTTTCACAGCTTTCTCGCCGAGCCCAAGCCCGTCACAACCTGGCCCTCGACATGGCGCAGAGCAGCCAGGCCGGCCCGGTGGAGGATCGTCGTGCTGAAGAAGAGCCTGTGGCCCTTGAGCTTGCCGGGTCTCCAGTACTAGATGGCCCAGGCGATGAAGCAGCTTCTGACCCTGACAGTGAACCAGAGCCAGCCCTTGCAGACAACCACGGCGTGAACAATGAGCCAGCTGCGCCTGTAATGCGCCGGCCTGCTGCTGCAGCCGCTGTCGTGCCACGCCAGCTTGCTGTGATGCGCCGACCAGCTGCTGCCCGGCGCCCGGCAGCCAACCCGCCTGAGGATGAGCCTGGGGCCAACCGCGTTCGCCTTAATGATCCAAGGCTTCAGCAGATTGTGGCCGGCTTCGGGAACACCGGGGAGGAAGGCTTGGGCTGCAGCAAATGCCGCTTCGTTGCCCGGGGCTGTCGCACTTGCAAGCTCCGCCAGGCTCGCCGGATCCTTGCCGAAGGCAATTGACCGAGCGCGTTAGGATGCCAATGTAGAGTTCGCCGCCTGGCAGTTTTTTTGTCCACAGGGCTTTGCGCCCTTGAGCTGCCCCTGAAAGCTGCCTTGCCTTTTTTCCGTTTCAACATATGTCATAAATGGACTTCACTGTTTTGTGCCATTTTTCAAACCAGGCAGTGGCCGCATGGCAGTGCGTTTTTTTTAACTGGGTGACCACTCTGCGCCTGCCCCGCAGGTGTGAGAAATGCTGTTGCGCGTGAACATGAGCCAGCAGTTGCCAACAGATTACTTGTTGCAAACCTTTCTGTAGAAGGATTTTTTTGCTCTTTGCCAAAGATTGAAACATTGTTTCAAACAGTGCCACCCTTTGCCGGCTAGCCAGCAGTTGTTTGCGCTGCCACCCTTTGCTGGCTAGCCAGCAGTTGTTTGCACTGCCACCATTTGCTGGCTAGCCAGCAGTTGTTTGCACTGCTAGCCACTTTGCTGGCAAGCCAGCAGTTGTTTGCACTGCTAGCCACTTTGCTGGCAAGCCAGCAGTTGTTTGCACTGCCACCCTTTGCTGGCTAGCCAGCAGTTGTTTGCGCTGCCACCCTGGCTAGCCAGTTGTTTGCGCTGCCACCCTTCGCTGGCCAGCCAGCAGTTGTTTGCACTGCCACCCTTTGCTGGCTAGCCAGCAGTTGTTTGCGCTGCCACCCTTTGCTGGCAAGCCAGCAGTTGTTTGCACTGCCACCATTTGCTGGCTAGCCAGCAGTTGTTTGCACTGCTAGCCACTTTGCTGGCAAGCCAGCAGTTGTTTGCGCTGCCACCCTTTGCTGGCCAGCCAGCAGTTGTTTGCGCTGCCACCCTTTGCTGGCTAGCCAGCAGTTGTTTGCGCTGCCACCCTTTGCTGGCAAGCCAGCAGTTGTTTGCACTGCCACCATTTGCTGGCTAGCCAGCAGTTGTTTGCACTGCTAGCCACTTTGCTGGCAAGCCAGCAGTTGTTTGCACTGCCACCATTTGCTGGCTAGCCAACACTTGTTTGCACTGCTAGCCACTTTGAGCAGTTGTTTGCACTGCTAGCCACTTTGCTGGAAAGCCAGCAGTTGTTTGCACTGCCACCATTTGCTGGCTAGCCAACAGTTGTTTGCACTGCTAGCCACTTTGCTGGCAAGCCAGCAGTTGTTTGCACTGCCACCATTTGCTGGCTAGCCAACAGTTGTTTGCAGTTGGTTGCATGTGGCTCCCTGGTTAGCTGGAATTTCTGCAGGTGTTTGCAACTTCCTGGGCAGATTATCCGCACTTTCCTGGAAAGCAGTTGTGAGTGTGCTTTTTGCATTTTTTGTTTGAAAGGTTGTTAGGCCCCTTGCCAAACCTGCCACTCTTTGCAGGCTTTTTGGCTGGAAAACAGTTTTAGCTCCCAATGGACCACCTGAGTGATGTGGAGCTTCCTTCACCTGAAGGCTCAGATGATGAGCTGAGCCTCCCAGACAATGTGCCTGAAGAAGGGGATGGAAGCCGCGAAGCTGGGCCTTTTGCCGGTCAAACCATTGCAAGCTTTGCCTTCATGGAAGTGTTTTCCATGCCGCGTATATGCCCCTTTGTGCAGCAATTTGGCCTGCGCACGGCTGGCAGCTTTGACATCCACAATGGATGGAATTTCCTGCTGGCCGAAGCACGGGCAAGGTGCTTGGCTCTGGTGAGGTCTTTGCAGCCACTTGTGATCATGCTTTCCCCACCGTGCACAGTTTTCAGCCAGATACAGCACTCGATGAAGAACCGCCGCCGGTGTTATGATCAATGGAACAAGACCTATGCGGAGGGCCTCGCCTTGTGGAAGTTTGCTCTGCTGATCTTCAAGGAGCAGGTCACTGCTGGCAGATTCGCCATCATAGAGCATCCATGGCTGGCCACCTCTTGGCAGCTAGCTGAAACCAGAGCTGTGATCAGCTCTTGCCCGAATGTCGCGTTCTATGTGTTTGACCAGTGTTTGCTGGGCTTGGTGACTGTCACTGACAAGCTCCCAGTTCGCAAGAGGACGCGGCTACTTGCCAACCTTCCTGGCATGCCGCCTGAGTTGTCTACTCTGTGCGCTGCAGCTACGTGCAACCACTTCCCGCAGAGCCATGTGTGGCTGCAAGGGGCAGAAGGCGGCCAAAGCCGATGCCGCGCAGCGCAGGAATATCCTGCTGGCCTCAGCCGTGTTATTGCACGGACTGTGGCCGCTCAGGGGCTGATGCCTGCAGGTGATGACATGGACCTGGAGTTGCCTGAAGACATTGTGGACTGAGTTTGTTTTAGCTTGGGGTGTGGCAGGCTGCATCCCTCCTGCAACTTTTGCTGTTGCAAGTGTAAGTGTCACTTGTAAGCCTTTCTTCCATATGGAGTTCTTGTCCGAAATCTGAGCTTGCAGGAGGGAGGGGGCGATGTGTCCTAAGCAGACCTGCGAAATTAGCCAGACTGGTTTGCTCACAGAAACATGGGGGAAGCGTCATAAAAAAGAAATGCGTATGCGTGACAGAGCAGTGAGACACACACACACACACGCGCCCACGCAAACACACACACACACACACCTGCACCCGCGCACACACACACACACGTGCACACACACACACACAGACACGCACACACACACACACACACACACACAGACACACACAGACACACTGACATACGCACACACACATGTGCGCACACACACACACCCACGCACGCACAAATACACACAAACGCACACAGAGATGCACAGACACAGACACAGACACAGCCGCACAGCCTCGCGGCGCCGATCACGCCTTGCGTAACGCGCACGCAGCCCAGCCGCGCACAGCCTTCGCGCACTGCGCGAAGGCTGTGCGCAAAGCGCAGCCCAGCACTGCACGCACAGCCTTGCTCCGCACAGCGACGCGCAGCCCAGCTCACTGCCCTGCGCAGCAGATGCAGACACAAACGCAGACAGAGACACAGACACAGACACAGACACACACACACACGCACACGCGCGCACACACATCTGGCGAAAATCTATTTTCCAGGGCCCCCAGTTTTGAAAAAGGCAAGTTTGGGCAGGACACTTCACTTCATCTCATTCAGCCGGCTAGCCGGCAGCAGTTGTTGCAGACAGACTGGCACACCTTCAGAAGCTCACGCCTGTCTTGATTGCAAATGTCGAAGGTTTCCACCCTCTTGCTCTTGCAGTTTCTGCCAGCTCATGCGCCGCCATGTTGGTGCTGACACTTTGTTTATTGTTGTTTGCCGCCCTTCTTCCGCCACTCTGCCCCCTATCATTGGCGCCTGCTGGTTGCAATTCTTGTCTTCCAGTCATTGTCCTGGTTTTTTAGTTGTCGTGAGTCGTCAGGGCTGGCTAGCCGCCCTGCTTGTGGTTTGCTTGCAGTTTATTATTAGCCTGGCGCCCTGCTGCCATCGTCAGCCATCAGCTTGCCCATTCCTCTGCCACTGTGCCCTTAACACTGGTGCCTGTTCGTTCCATTTCTTGCCTTCCAGTTGCCATGAGTCGTCAGGGCTGGCTAGCCGCCCTGCCTGTGGCTTGCTTGCAGTTTAGTATTAGCCTGGCACCCTGCTGCAAGTTGCCCCGTTCGCCGCCGCCAGGTCACTTGACTCCAGTCTTAGCCCCCTCAAGGCTCACAAGTGTTGGCTCTCTAGCACTTTGGGTGGATCTCACTGTCCATTTTTTGGGGGGGGGACATCGGACCAAGAAAATTTTCTTGGGTTGATATCCCAGGGTCAGCGGTTCTTTGGGTGGATCTCACTGTCCAAATTTTTGGGGGGTCACTTCGGACCAAGTTTCCGTCAACCCTGGGACATCGGACCGAAAAAAATTTTTTCGGCAGATCTCGGGGTTGGAAATCTGGGGGGGAGGGATCGGACCGAAATCCATAAATTGGCTAGATTTGGGCCTGCACTTGGCGACTGCATCTGACCAGCGTTGCAGTGTTGCAGCTTCAAGCTGTAGTCCTCTGCGCAGCATGACTGCCGCTTCGACACCGTCCGAGGCAGACACTGCAGCAACGTCAGTGACACCAGCGGCATGGCATGTGCCAGAGCTGGGCTTTCAAGAGGCAAGGCACCTGGAGTCAGTGCGCGACCATGTGCAGGCCTACAAAGAGCTGGTCTTGCAGAAATTCGGCGGACCAGCTCAGCACCTGCGAGCTGTGCTTTGCAGCACCGAGCAGCAGACGAACTTCGCGGACTGGCTCTGCCTGACATTCCCGCTGCTTGCTGACACCAAATACCACTTGGAGAAGAGCATGCCTGCAGTGCTGGCTGCAGACCTTGGCGCTGCTAGGCCCTTGGTGGTGCACGTCTGCCAGCTTGGCTTTGCTAAGGAGGCCTCGGTGAAGCCGAACCCATCATCCCACTCTGCCTCTCTGATTGTGGAGCACTTCCTGACCCAAGGCTTCTTGAGTGGCGAAGAACCACTTCAGGTCAAGCTTCTTGACACCAGTTCGCCGTACTGCCCGTGGAGCAGTTCAGAGGGCGTTCGTGACCCGATAAGGGCATGTTGAGAGCGACCACCTTGCTCTCACTCCTGCTCTTGTGGTATGAGGATGGCAGTGCTGACAAGTTCCTGGCCAGTTTTGAGAAGCTCAGGACCACCATCTCCAAGATCTATGTCCACGCAGTTGCCTACCCGTCTCTCGCAGAGGAAATTTTTGCAAATTTCCGGATGTCACTGCGAGGAGCCATCCGAAAGCCGCCGAACATGCTCACATGGATCACTGTTTTGCAGAACTTGAAAGGCCATGGTTACGAGGATTCTGGCACAGTCATCTCGAGATACAATGCCAGTGTTGGGCCTTCAAGCCAACTTGTTGGCGCCAAGGCGGTGGCCGTGGCGAACCTGATGAGCCAGTTCCCACAAGACTTGCTTGACCTCCTGGCGCAGCACGTGAGCAGCTGTTCGTGGGAGCATGGCGGGCTGTCGGACGACGTCTTGTCCTCGAAGAAGATCCTTCCGAACCACCAGTTCCGAGCACCGCACAAGCAGTGGAAGAAGTGGACTGCAGCCAGTGTGGAGAGTTCCAAGTTGACAATGCGCCGGCTCATCTGCGACTTTGAGAAGCAGAAGGGAAAGCGTCGCAAAGCCGACCGAGCACAGGTCGACCAGCTTGCAGAGATGGCATGCCTGCTGGTCAACTTGACCAACGCCCTCAAGGAGCAGTTCCCCTTCAAGATGGAGGACGTGGACAAGGAGATCTACAACAAGTGGGTGGACGCTTGCCCGGGCTTAGAGTTGGAACTCCATGAAGCGCAAGCTGAGAAGCGAGCAGGCTTGAGCCCGCTGGATGTCAAGTTCCTTCGCTCAGTCTCCGACGCTCTCCAGTGCCGCGTCCCTGTCAGTGACTCTGGCGCCATTGAGATGCAACTCAGCCACTTGGAGAATGACAAGTGGCAGCTGCTCCAGAAGCAGCTGGAGTTCGACATCAACGCTTTCCGTGTGTTCAAGAGCAAGTTGGAGAGCGCTGCGACACATGTCCACCACGCCAAGGTTGAGTGGAGGAAGCAGTGCCGTGAAGAGGCGCAGTCCTGGGTGTCTTCTTGGCTAGCCAAGAAGGCGGAGGTTCTTCTTTTCGACGACAAGCAGGAGGGCAGCTTGTTGGCCCAAGTCCAGCAGGTTGTGCCACAGCTTCTGAAGAACGCGGGCCTGAACAAGAGCAGCGCTGCACCTTGTTCTTGGTATTTGTTTTTGCATTTGTGTGGTGGCCTGTCCTGTTCTAACAATTGGGTTCCACGCGTCTTTCTACTGGCCATGTCAGGCAATCCTGGCCTTGCTGAATTGGTCAGCGCCTGCGACCAGCTCACAGAAGACGCAGGAACAGCAGAGTTTGTGTTTCACGCAGGTCATCTCCGAGTCAGCCAACAACTTGGGCGTGCTGATGACCCCGATTTTCCACTACAAGAAACATCAGGTACACTTGTTGGAACACTTGATGCTGAAGAGCCTGACCTGTCGCAATGTTGACGTGGACATGCAGGCTAGCCTGCTCTTCCGCAGCCGGCAAGACTCCCGGGACGAGCGCCCCCTGGTTTACCCGTTGCGAATTTGCCGGCCTTGCGGCAACTGGGCCGAGTCCGACAGCGAGGAAGACATTGCTCGCAAGGCAAAGCGCCAAAAAAAGAATGTCATCAGCAAGTGCTGGCAGAACTGCCAACTGCTCACAACGCTGCGGACTTCAGAAGCTGACCAAGTGCCAGGCATGAAGCTGAAAGTTGTTGAAGACTTGACGGAGTCAGCCCTGCCCACCCACACCGAGGACAAGAACTCTGTTCGCGGCGGCAAGCGCTACGAGCAAGTCGGTGAGGATGCGGCGACGAAGGTCCTGGAGTCCTTGCTTGAGTCTGACAAGCTTTCTGGGGACACCCGTGGCTTCCTCATTCTGGACTTGAACGTCGGTGTTGGCGACTTCTTCTGGGCTTACCTCTCCAGAATGAAAGCCATGCAGTGTCCGGTAGCCTACTTGGGGGCTACGCCCAGCAGTGTTGAGGCAGAGTGGCTTCAACACACCATGCAGGAGGAGCTCACGGCCAAGCTGCTTGCAGGGGAGTCCCCTCTGCCTGGCTTTCAGGCTCGCCCAAATGAGCCGCCTGCAGAGATGCTCATGGCTGCGCCTCCTCCGCCCCAGCTCAACGTTTGCAACTTGCATGGGGGAACTCTGGTTGTCCCAGAGGCCATCGTGAAGCAATGGGCTGAGCACCCGGAATTTGGAAGCACTTTCCAGGACATTCTCAAGAAGATCGTGGATGAGTTTGGCGAGCCCCGGGCTCAGCCAGAAAAGCCTGGCATTGCTGCCCCTGGCCCTTCTGGGCCTGCACCCCCGACCAAGCGCGAGGTAGCTCCTGCGCAGACTGTGGCAGTCAGCCAGCTTCCCCAGGCAAAGCTGGCCGAGGCTGTGGTGGGCAATGTCAAGAAAGACCTGTCTGGGAAGCTTGCCGTGCGGGTTGGCCAGGACCAGGCGTGGTGGTTGATCAACTCCTCTGCTGGCACCGTGTCTCTTGCAGCTGGGACTGTGATTGCTGGCTTTGGCTTTGGGACCTTCAAGAACATCCCACGTGCCGCTGGAGGCTCTCCTGGTCCAGTTCCTGATTCTGAGAAGCTTGTTCTCTTTGACCTCAAGAGTTCGTCTGACCTGGTGCTTTTCAACAGTCGGCTCACTTCGGTTGGCGAGCTGATCCACAGTGCCCAGGCCTCCAGAACTGCAGCAGAGCTCTGCTATCATGAGAAGAAGGCTGTGGACGAACAGAGTTTCAACTTGCACCGCAAACACGAGGTGTACTTCAAGTGCACGCCAAAGGTCCCAGGGCAGCACGAGGCAAATGGCGAGGATCCGGCGAACGTTGAGCTCAAGGGCACCTCTGGGCTGGCTGGCTTGGTGCCCAAGGTGTGCTTGCCGGAGCGCCACTGTGAAGTGATCTGGGCCGTGAAGTGGTCTGCCAAAGGTCTTATGCCCATCAAGCCTATGGTAGCCGCGATCCACGACATCGAAATCCTTGGGCAGACCGCCATGAAGCTGTGATCAACTTAGTTTTTCTCGGGTTTGTTTCTGTCTTCTGGTCTTGACTCTGAGGAGTCTATCGTACAGAAGCAAGGCGTTACAATTTCCAGCCATGGCAAAACCAATGTTGTTGCTTCGCAGGGGCTGCTAGCAGCCTTTGTTGTGGGCTGGGGAGGGCTGGGGCTGGCAGGGCGATAAGAATGTCA